CCAGGTTCCAGGTGAGGGACCCCTGTATTCGGTATTTCATTTCCCAGTGTCCTGCAGATTAAAAGCAGGCAGGAGAAGGGATGCAGCAGAGGAGCTGTACTTGTCAGCCCGAGGGTCCTTACCCCCACTTCCTCCCTCCCTCGTTCCCCCCTCCTTCCTTTACTCCCCACTCCACACACAACCATGCATTCCCAGTGTGCTTCCGGAATCTTAGTAGAAATCTAGCTTCTTGAGACCCCTCTCCCAGATCCACCAGGCGGGAATCTCCCTGTAATGCCCACTCAGGTTTGGAGTTGTCCCTGTCTCCCCCGTATCACTGCACAGCCCTGGCTCTCCTAATTCTACATGCAAGCTGGGAAGGGAAGTGGAACTATAAAGGCAGACAGTGCCGAAGTTGAAGCTCTAGTGCCCCTGTGATCTAAAACTAGGGGGCACTGCCTGCCTCTTGTCTCTTCAGTTTGGGCTCGCAGACGTATGAATGTGTATATGTTGGGGGCTACTGAAGGACTGGGTGCGTTTTCAGGCCTACGCTCATTCTGTAACTTACTCCATGAGATAGGTTAAGCAATATACAACTTCTCTGAATCTCATGTTTTAAAGACACGGCTGATTCCTGTGGCCTCTTCCTGTTCTGCAATATAGCAACCTTGTGCTGTGCTCTTTGCTTAACGATGTGAGAAGTGGCAGATTGAGGCTGTGTGTCTTCACAGAACACTGGACAGTACATAAACATGCACATGTAATATGGACTGGAATAATACATGAACACACAGACGTATCATACATTTTATGTTACCATGTATATTGCATGTATAATAGATGAATGCTCTATACTATTGGACAGTATTTCCCAACATAGAGTGAGACACTAGGTGGCTAGGTTAGCTGTGAAGGCTTATTTCACCACCTGCAAAAGACTTCAAGGAAGGACACCATTCACATGCCACACTGTCACTTTATACCCCTAATTACCTAGGGCCCAGAGGACGGTTTCACAGGAGAAATGAACTGTTCTCTACCCACACACATTTTCTTTTTCCATAGTCATTAAAATGTAGCAAATCAAAGGAAGGACAAATGTGTTTTTATGTACAGATCCTTATACTTAGTATCACAGTGACTGGCAAACTTCATCTGAAATGTAGATATCCTTTTAAATGCAAGTGTAAGAGCTTCATGTGTCTTTTTAAGAGAAGCGTGATTTTATGTACACACACACACACACACAATGATGTGCATGTTTTTTTATGTTATCATTTTGAATAGATCTTTTTCAGCTCCTCGTCCTGACAGTGCTCTTAGAATTAACCTTTATACTTTCTGTGTTGAGAATCTATCAAGAAAACTGGTAACTCCATGCATATCAGGAACATGGACTGACAATTGCTGGTTGCCAGAAAGTTCTGTATTCTCGCTACCTGAACTATTCTAAGAATAGGTGGCAATTTAGCCTTATCCTTTTCACTGGTAGGAGATCATGCATAAGTGTATTTCAGTTACTCTTAGCCACAGATCACAGTGGCTTCTTGAAAAAGGCCATTGAGTTTTATAGGTGCCAGTTCAGTGCAGTTTTTACAGGAGAAAAGCAAAAGCCATTCTCATTATCTATCAGAAAACATTATAACATTTAGGGATATCCTAATTGGCAGCTACCCCAGGAAACTACAGAAATGTCTTTGGAATGAAGTAAAAATTAGCAAATAGCATTCATTTATTTTTATTATATTTTTACCTTTCCTTTTATTTTTGCCTTCTAATGATGGCATAAATAACAAAATTCTAATCAAGCACTGTTTTTAAAAAATGTGCAAATGGTAACAGAAGAATTCAGGATCCTTTTCAACACTGCTGATGATTCAGTAAGATGTGCAGTATGAAATCTGGAGGCAGCCACTGTTTTAAGCACCACCCTGGAAGCATTCGCATTTGATTTCCAACATGCCCAAAAAACTGGGCTGCAACATGTATTATATATGTTGAAGGCTGCATCATAATTTTACTAGTGGTTTGGCCCAGGGTTGGATTTCCTATTGCCCTCCAGGGCCCAGTACTGAGAAAGAAGAAAAGTGAATTTCATAGTGGGCATTTTCCACACTCCTACTTAAAAGTCAGGGGGCAAATGGACACTGTAATAGCATGCAGATTCAGAAAACTGAAAACATAGAGCATTTGTTTTCCACAGCCAGAGAGTTGATATTAGAAGCTCCTATATTTCATACAAAATATTGCTGTCTGGCACCTGAGAGAGACCTGGTGGTTTCAGAAAAGAAGAATTAGGTGTTCCTGGGCTCGAGCTTGTAAATGCATCTGGACCACACCTTGGACATGATGATGCTTTTTATTTCCCATCCGCCTGGTGTTGTAATTCCGTAGCACTGTTGTGAGCATGGGGGTCAAGTCTGTTCCAAAGGCTCTGGCTTTACTCCCACGACACACTTGGGAAGAGCATGGAATGAACTCTTCCCCAATCTTCCGGCGTTGGGCTCGGCCCTGAGACTCCCGGCCCGGGCTTAGGAAATAGTTTAGAGTGAAGAATTGTTTTTCTCTGAGAGTTGAGCCCGAGCATTCCTGCTAAAGCAGACAGTCATCACTTAATCTCTGTAAATGACTACGATTTTGGCAGGTGTCAGCTGGTATAGAAATGGCTCACATTAAAAGTCTTTTTTTAAGCGCAGAGTAATGAGGGGGACTAATAAAAATAATAATCTCACATGCGTCTGGCCACAGAGGGGCTTGCCTGAAATGACTTAATTCCTGTTTGGTTTCTCAGTGGCACGTGTCCCCAAGTGTGCTGAGCAGATGCACTAATAGATAGCCTTTCTTCAAAGGCTTGCCCAACGTGTCACCACACCCAGGGCCGTGTGTTCAGAGCAATCCCGGTGCACCATTCCCCGGTGTCCTTCACTCAGTGTTCTTCAAAAATGCCTCTGGGTACCTAAGGAATGTGAAGTTGAAACACAGAGAGAATGTACTGAAATCGCTGGCTGGCTGGCATTCTTTGTGAGACTGTAGAACTCTCCAGAAACATGTTTCTTGCCATTTCTTTTCCTGACTCCTAATACTAGGCATTAAGCTGTGGCCGGCATTTAAAGGGCAGAATTATGTTTTAGATGTTTTTTGAGTTAAGAATTGTATGTTTTGTTTTGTTTTCTGCAAAGGAAACTTCAGACATTTTTCGTGTCATCATCAAGAAGTGAGTGTCTGACACAAGATGAAAGGAGGGAGGACTAAGGAAGTCTCCATCCGGGCACGTTGAATTACGCCATGACTAAATGAGATAGAATGTTCTAGAAAAAGACAATTTTGTACTTCTGAGGGAAAAGGATGAGAGGGTTACTGGGGAACCTGGCCCCTTTTGTCCACAGAGCTGGTGCTTAAAATACTCAGCCCATAAGAGGCCTCTCACATGTGTGCTGGCTGAGCCTGCGTGACTCAGGGTGTTTGCGTTCGAGTTGAGTGTTGTGGGCTGGAGCGCTGAATCAGAGTCCAGATTTGCCTTGGTGACACATGAAAAGAGGGAGCATTGCATTTGAACTACACAAATATTATGCTTAAGTATTTTTCCTCCTTTTGGAGCCAAATAGGTCTTGTTAATGATAAAATCACTGCAGTATAGTGGGCCCTTTTTCTGGCCTGGAATTTGAGACACTGTCAGCGGTGCCAAGGGGCCCTGTAGCAGGAAGAAATGGCAAGCCATGGAGATTTGGAATCATAACACAAGTTATACAATTTAATTTTATAATTGTAGCAATGTCGAGTTAGAGGAAAGCGGGCTGCTCCCAGCCCCACTCCTACCCTGGGCTGTGGAGAGTGGAGCTAAGGGTCCCGGTTCTAATTTAGGACTTGGGGCGGGGACAGGAAGGGGAACTTTCTAGGGGCCGTAAGCTGGCTGCTTCTCCGGTCTTGTTCTCAGGCTGCTTGACAATCAGGGATTTTGGTGAAATGGATCAAGGGCTCTACTCAAACAAACTTCAAGGTTACAGAAAGAATGAGAGAGAGGCCATCCTCTTTGAAAGAGGAAGGATTTACCCAGGCCTTTTGTACCGACCTTTATGGTACCCTCACCTCTGCCATCTCTAGTTCAACGGCATTTTGATGGTGGATTCAGGGAGAAAACTAGAGGTCCATCCAGCTCTCCCGACCCATCCCATGTAAGCGCCTCTTCTTGCCTCTCTCCGGTGACAGTGATTTTGATGAGGAGCATGAGGACTGAGGCAAGGACACCTACTGTCCATAAGACACTGAGAATCCACCTTCCCACCTTGATCCTGAGTGCCCCAGGGAAGGCCCACCCGACCAGCTGATGGCTCCTTTAGGCCTCGCCTGCTGGGAGCACTGGACAAAGCCCAGGCTTCTCCTTCCTGCCTGATCTCTCCTAGGGGTGCACCCAGGGAGTGGGCTTTGGGAAGAAAGCAGCTCCTAAGAGGCCTTCGTGGAGAGGAAGAGGGCAGCATGTATGAGGAAATCTTGAGTCCCTGGCTGTGGGTTTGCCACTGCACCCCATTTCCTACTGGAAGGGGCATGCTGCTAAGCTCCAGGATGCCTCTCAGACCTGCCACGGTCCGCTTTGCAGTAAGGAGTGGCCTTCTGGTGCTATGAGGACAGTACCCTTCCTGGCTGCCACAGCTCAGCCCACAGCACACGGCCACGTGCCAGATGCTTCCTTCTCTGTCACCACTGCTGCTGCCACCAACCTGCTGCATTTCACGCAACAGAGGTGTTTTGAGGATCGGAGTGGGTAGGGGGGGCACCCTGTGGCCAGCATGATGAAAGGGGCCCTGAGGTGCTGTGGGGACAAAGGCTCCAAATTCCCACAGGCAGCACATCTCCCCAAGGGTAAATCTCCAGAGTCCACACATCAGGATGAGGGGAGAGGGCGGGGAAAAGTAAGACAACCCCCAGCTTTAGAAATTCCACAGTGCATTTTCTGATCTCTTCCCTCCCTCCTTCCCTCTCTCCCTCCTCACCCCCACCCCCCCACCTCCCACTCCCCACAATAGGACATCGTCAGAAACTAGATGATCAGACCAAGCCTGGGAGCTTGTCCTTTTCCGAGCGGCTCAGTGAACTGGAGCAGCTGCGGCGCACGGCCATGAGGGTCAGCCCGCACCACCCAGCCCCCACGCCCAACCCTCGCGTGAACCACTCCACTGCCTTTAACCCTCAGCCTCAGAGCCAGATGCAGGGTAAGTACCAGGATGGAGCCCATTGCTACCTCGCCTCCAGGGGCCACCACGCAGAGCCCACCCAGAGTGGCCCTGGCTTTTCTTGGCCACTCATGGGGAGCTCATAGCGATGCAGATTCCTAGGCTGCATCCACCTGCTGAGTCGCATCTGCACATAGAGAGATCTGGATGGAGAAGCATTGGTGCTCAGGAGAGAGAGGGGCTGCACCTATATGTGTGGAGTGTCCCGTAGGTATCCACGGGAGACGGCATCCGGACTCACAAGGATGCCAAAATCCTTCGGTGCTCGGGTCCCTTGTGTAAAATGGCATAGTATTTTCATTTACCCTGCACACGTCCTCCCATATGCTTTAAGTTATCTCTGGATTACTTCTAATATCTAATGCAGTGTACGTGCTAATAGGTGCTACAGTGATTCAGGCCAAGAAAAGAAGGTCTGTGCATATTTAGTATAGATGCACTTGCTAAAATATTTTCAACCCATGTTTATCTGTATCCTTGGATGTAGCACTCCCAAGGACAAGAACGAATATTTTAAAAGTAAGCTTGGCTGTGCTGTTTCCTAACCTACCCACCCATTAGGCTTACAGACCCATGTACACACAACTCTAGGTAAATGGTCAGATTTTCAGGTTCTTGTTGCCTTCGGACTATTTGTGTTCTTGTATCTAATATATGTTATTTTTAAAAATGAAAAGCAACCTTAGGCATGGATGGGTGTCATCACTTCATGCATAATACTTGCAGATCAATAAAGAATGCAGGTCTCCCTACCCCATGGGGCTGACCAGCCATTGCAGAAACACTGTCAAATGCAATATTTGCACAAAACCCACTGAAGCAATTCAGACAATGGGCATGGTGTATTTACACGGTAGAAGTGCTGACCCCAGTGGCCAATCTGCGGAACCCCTTTGAGCACCCGAAGCGCAGTCATCTCTGTGCCTCGCGGGGCGCAGCTATATACGATAAGGTCACAGTAATAATACGGTCACAGCAATAGCCCTTTGTCAAAGAAGCAGGAGGGTTCAACTCAAAGCGGAAGATAAACAACACATCTGCAGAAGAGGGCAGGCAGCCAGCAGAGGATGTGGTAGCTCCTTGCCCCCTTGGACAGCCAGAATGAGCTTCCGCAGGCATTTTTGAGATGTGAGTCGTGTTGTGGGATGCCCAGGCATCTGTTTGGTAGTTTCTGGGCCCATAGCTCTCTGTTGTGGTTAACACATGTGGGGCTCTTGCCGGCTCTTCAACAGAGCAAGACAGAAAGCCCAGGCCCTGAGCAAACACAGTTGTGTTTCTAGGGGAGGTTCTTTTGTTAGAGTGGAAAATTCCCAAAGAAGTCTTCCCATAAAATAACCACACACGCACACAGCTGTGAAGTGGGCTGTCTGTAGGGGAGCCATTTTGTATACAAACAGAGACCTCCAGCCTGATGTTTGGAAGGCTGCCTCTCATCTTTGCTTAGGTATATTGAGGATGAGGCCCTGGGAATTCAGTGGCTTCCTGGCTCTTACTAATCATAAATAATAATTCAGAACACGCATATTGACTTTAAAAATGCAAGGGTGTATGGCAAATTAGGGCAAATGTGGGAGGGATGGGGTTGGAGTGAAATAACACCTTTCTGTTAGGAGACAAAATCCTCACGTGTGTTGTTTGGGCCTTTTAATTACCCTATGTCATCTTCAGGGCTTCATGTGTCAAAATCAAAGGGGAGACTTCTGTTGCCTTATTGTCTCCTTGGTTCACCGACTATTGATACCACTAGGCTGATAAAGGAATTTGCCTTGTTTTTTAAACTGATAATGGAAGAAAAACTATTAATCATCATTAGAGAAAATGGAAAATTCCACCCTACAGGGGAGCAAATTAAAATTTCACCATTGAGTCTGCTGTTTTCCAATAGTTTTGGTGAGGGAGGAATCCAATCTGATTATTTCCTTTTATCAGATATGATTCTGTGCCCCTTCCCCCAAAAACGAAGGGCCTGGGAAGATGGCACAGTGGAATTCTTATCCCCACTTGGGCAGAGGTGTTACTGCGGACAGGAGTCTGCAGCAACTTGGAGGACTGTGTGCTTAGCAGAGTATCAGGTTTAATAGTGAGCATCACCCCTTTCTTGCTCCTTTTAAAAACTTTTTACTTCTGCTACATCTAAGCAATCATAACTCGCTTTTAGAGTGCCCTAGGGGCTTGATTGCTACTCTAAAGAATGTGTTAACCATATTGCTGATGTTCTTTCTCTCCAAAATATGAATTTGATATGCAGTACTTCACTTGTAAAATGGCAGGAACAATGTTTTAGAAATGTGTCTAGAATTTTCGTGTAGAAATCTCTCTCACACACAGTCTCTCTCTCCCTCCCTCCCTCTTTTTTTCTCTAGATCTTGCTTTCACTCTCCTCTTTCTCTCCTGCTCCCTCTCTCTTTCCTTCTCACTCTGTCTCTATACCTCTGTCTCCCTCTTTTCATAAAGAAAATGCTATCTTACACATGTCAAATTTTGAATAGACTCTTGAGCTTTTTTTTTTTTCTTTCTTTGTTTTCAAACCTGGAGTTTACAACGTGAACAGAGGTAATATGAAAGAAAGCATAGGGCAGCCAGTGCCTTCACTTTTTCTTGACACGAGAAAAATGGTTGATTTCCAGGCTTCGTCCTAGAGCGTCCATATTATATTTACAACCACAGTTTAAGAAGTACAGCATGTGTTTTATGGTTCTCTTTGAAATGAAACAGCGGCAGTCATTTCAAGAAACATATTCGTTCCAGAAGGAGACAGGGCAGTCCCTCAGCAGGGCTGTGCAAATGCTTTTCAGCTTTACAGAAGTGTCAGAAGCTGGAACCTTGGAAGGATGGCCAAGGTTTGTGGAAGGCCTGGGGACTGGGGCTTGCTGGGACCTCCTTGCAAGGGTAGAGCGGGCAGGAAATCATGCACACAGAATGTCGCCTCTGTTTATCTAGAGTCAGGTGTGCTTCAGAATCACTCAAAAAAGCCATCTCCAGTGATCTGGGGCAGGATGCAGAGGGAAAGGGGCGGGTTGCCATGCCACCAAACCACTGTTTATTTGTTGAGGTTTTAACTATAAAAGGGCTGAGGTTAATTTCAACTTCCTATTTTACCAGGTCTTAAAATTGAACAGAAAGCCATTCTGTCATGGCTGCACGTTCATGCAAGTCAAGTCATCATCATGAACTGCTACAGTCAAATTTTAGAATTCTTTTATATTCCTTTTAGGAGGGGGCATGGGGCAGACCTTAGAGAGCGGGGGGGAACCCATGCCTTTTTGGCCACACATCCCACTGAGAGATGCCTTCAGGCAACACAAGTGAGTAATTCTAAGACTTTGACTCTGATTTACCAACTTGAGGAACCACATTTAAGGTGGTGCCACTTCCTCCTTTGGGGAGATAAAGATGGGGTGAGGGATGCTGGTGCAGAAAACCATCAAACCCAGATCAACTAAGGGGCCAGTGCTGTTGTCATGGCAACACACTGGTCACTATAAACACCTAACCATAAGGTTGAACTCTTTCATTGGGCTGATTGTGATACATTTTGTTATGGAGGAGATGGGGATCTGCAGTGTTCTGTACCCATGATCCCGTGGCAAGGTTTAGGTTCAAATTGAACCTCAGGGACTGACATCTGCCCACCATTTCTAAGATCAGAAATGGTGAATGTGGAACTCGAACCCAGATGTTTCTGGTGGCAAAGCCTGTGCAGGAGGGGTATAGGGGTTGAGCAACATGGAGAATAATTGCGGTCACCATTGGAGCCACAGGAGAAGCGCTGGGCTTGTCACTCTCATGGTCCTGTAGTGAGTGTGTGTGCTGTTGTGATTACACAGCGATGATGGTGATAGCTTTGGGCTCTGTGTGGGCACCTTGGTAATCTGTCCCCTTTTGGTGCATGGACTGTCTTTTTTAAAATGGAGAGAAAAGAAAACAAGATCATAAGCCTGTGAGCATTCATGAGAGGGGATGTCGGGGCAGAAAGAGGGCTTTTGTGCCATTCTATCTCTTGTACTGGGGCAGCTGCCTCTTCCTGTAAGAGGCTGTAGCTGGGGGCCACTGCAAGCTTTCATACTTATCCAAACCCAGGCAACATCTGGTCAGCCAAAGGAGGGTAGATGCCTAGGCTTAAGAGTTCCACGTGGCCCCCAAGAGGGGCCCTGGCTTCGCGGATCATCACCAATTTTTGGGCTTCCAAATGAATCTTTGTTTTAATATCTGTGTTCTCTAAAAAGTTAAACTCACTTTGGAAAGACTGTATAGTGCTGCTGTCTCTCCTGTCTGTCTCCGCACCTCCCCACCTTCGTTTTACAAGCAGTGTGGAGTGAGGCTGTTGATTACTTTGGAATCAGTTGCTACAATCAAACACTAGAAATTCTCATGTGTAAATCCACAAATGATCATTTAATGGTCACACAAATGAAAGTATTCAGAGTGCTAGAAATCAATGTGTGAGACTTACTTAAAACATGAAAGTGAATAATGTTATTTCAGAGCTCTCTACATAGGTGTGGTAGAGTTGGAACCTGAAAACCTATAGCATCAGAATCTTACTTGGAAAGCCAGCCTCTTTCAGGAGTTGTCATGAAAACAATTAAGGGAATGAAAGGGAGGAGGGAGGACAGGAAAGAGGAAGGGAGAAAAGAATGAAATGGAAAGGAAGGAAGGAAAGGGGAAGAGAAAAGCAAGAGGAACACATACGGAATGATAGCCCTCTGTTGGATGTACAGCATGAGCTACCTCCCTCCCCTTTCTGTATCACAGGCCTGCAGAGTGAGAGGCATGGGAGGTTAAGGGCCTCTCAAGGCGGAGACTGAGGACTCAGTTACTGTTTCTATATTCATAGCTGGTGCAACATAAACTGTAAGTTTAAGGAAAGGGTGGAAAACTCAAAGAGATTGCACTGTAGACATTCAGGAAAGGAGGAAGGGAGGAAGAGTCATTTGGCCTTGGCATCCTGATCTTTGTCTCTTGAGTCCAAGGTGGCT